GGATGTCTGGCAGGTCAGGAGTAGCATCCATGCTCTTTGCACATGCTTAGTGGCTTCCAACATTTTTGACTGCAATCCACAGTGAGAAATTCATTTTGTATCATGTCCCAGTACTCAGCTTCACACATACCCTATACACGTAGATGCATATATACATTTTACATTCATATGTAGCTGAAACAAAAATGAAATAATGTTTATACTTTTCACAACCTATGTAATAATCTTTTCTACCTTATTTTGTTAAGAATGTTGGTTGATCCACTACATTGATTTCAAGATATACTAATAGCTTACAACCTGCGGTTTGAAAAACCCAAGCATATCATATCAGGAAGCTCATGCATTGGTTTTGGAGTCAGATTGGGTTGGAATTCTGGCTCTGCCAATTTATTACCTGTGTCACCACAGTAAGTTTCTTAATTTCTCTGAGCCCCTAGTTTCTCATTTGTGAAATAGATTCCTAACCTACAGGATTTCTGTTTTCTTTCTAAAGCACAAATCTGAACATGCCATTCCCATTTCAAGGCTTCCAAGTTGCCCTAAAGTCTAAATGATTTCTCTTAGATTATCTGGCCTTTAACAATATTTCCTTTTGTTTCTTGCCTCTAGCTGGCCCTAACTTTCACACTACATTCCGTCTCTTCTATATGCAGATCCCCATGTTTTCTCTTTGCGCTTTTGTGAATGCTCTTCTGCTCACTTGATTAATTTCTACTTGTTCTTTAGGTCATACTATAGATTCCTTCAAGAAGCCCTCTTTGACCACCCAGGTCTGCATTCAGTGCCCCTTTTATGTGCTCCCACAGCATGCTGGCTGCCTCTTATACCATATCACCATCACGACTCCAAATTATCAGCTGCATCTCTCTAGAGGCCAGGAAACTCTGTATTCTGTTCTATTCTTTGTATTATTTTATGTCTAAATGAGGAAATTCTGTATATCCTCTCCAACCTATTCTTAGTAAACAGATCCTAAGGATCAGGTGGTTTGTTTGAAAAACATTCAAGTCAATGCTTAAATGACAGCTTTAAGAAATTGGGGTAGCCCTTCAGCAAGCATTCCTCAAATGTGCCCACTTACTACCAGCAGTTGAGGATGGGGGAAGCATCGTGAAAATGGATGGTCACTAAGTACCAACCCGCCTTACTCAGCTCAAGCATACTAAAGGAGAAAGGTGTCTACATTTGTCATCCCTGGACATTAACAACTTAGGCAGACATAAGTAACATTGTCCCATGAGTAGGGCTCTCATAAGATAGAAAAGAAAAATGAGAACATAAAGTTTTAAAGACAAGGAATGGAGGAAAGTAGAGTTAATGGTATATCAGTTACTACTAGCACTTATCTGGCTACAGATATTCTTTCATTAAGGGATTTCTCATGATTGTTTAAAAGTCACTTAAAAACAGGTGGTAATATGTTTTAAGAAAAAAAAAATCTGATTGCCGTTCAACTGATGAGTTAACTGTCTATGGAACTGCCATTTATCACTGGGATTCCCAAACTGACATGAGATCACTTTGGCTCTATTTGTAGAAACTAAAACCCCACATCTCTAAGTCATCTACTATATGCACTGTTCAAGTCTCTACACACAGCCTCACAGTTGTGAGTCAGAAGTGATAGCTGAAGTGCTGTTAAACTAGAATAAAATTAACTGGAAAGCTCACTGGAGAGAAAGAAAGTAGGGACAAACACCAACAGAGGCATGAGCTGTGCACGAACAGACTGTGGCTCAATGAAATGCTGAATCTCTGAAATCGAGTGTTGTGGTGAAGCGGTATCAACCCTCCTACATTGCCCCCTTAGCACAAGGTATGTTCCCACCAGCTGTTCACACAGCTACAAAGCTTTCCTGTTAACACTCTTTCTATCCTTCATTGTCCTTATCTTAGAATTTTTAAAACGCACTTTTTCAGTGGTCATGAAAACTAGGAATGTATGTCCCCTAGCTGCCTTAGTTAATTGATATTAGAAGTTATTCAGACTGAAAGATGAGGGTACTTCAAAAGATTTGTGGAAAAATAGAATTAAAAGATAATAAGAATCTTTTCATGAACTTTTTGAAGAATCCTCATAGTTCTGCATGAGCTATAAAAGAGGGTCTACAGAATAATGATAGCCTCCCACAGGGAGTTAAGAATATATTTGACAAAAGTGCTATGTAGCATTATTCTATAGCTTTTGGATTATTAAAGGAAGTGGAAAAAAAATTCAAGAAATTATCTAGAGGTCATCTGTCTGTGGTAGATTCCATGGAGTGACTCCCTAAAAGCCACTTGAAAATCCTTTCTCTCTTGACTTTGGTTACTGGAAAGATGAATTACTATTTCTCAATACCCTCTTACAACTCGGGTGACTTTTTACTACAAATTTTGCCAATGAGAAGTTGTTGGGGTCTTCTGAGAAATCTTTTCAAAGGGAGGAACCTGGCTAGCATGTGCTGTTGGCTATTCCCCCCTTTGTCTCTCTTTGTCCCTGAAGGTGGACATGAAGCCTAGAGCTGCAACAGCCACTTAGAATCATGATGCAACCTGAATAAGAGGCCTAACCACTGGGAAAGGCAAAGGAGGAAGAAGAAAAGAGGACACTTCAGGAGGCCAGGGCCACCTAAATTCCTTTATGGGTGAGATAAACGTATCAGTTGGTTTTTTTGTTGTTTACAGCCAAATAGGATCTGAGTTGACACACTGTTGTTACTGACAGCACTTCTGGGCCCATAGAAATTGGGCTAGCCCATTCTGTGGACAATGGCTGAGCCCAACTCCAAGCAAATGGACATTCAAGTCACATGGCAGGACGACAGCCTTAGTTCTGGTGACAAGCTTGGGGACATCTAATGAGTTATGGTTTTTAACAATCAATTGCCAAAGTAGCTCGGCATGTAATAACTGAGCTCTTCACTCATGGAGATGATATGACTATCTAACAGAATCTGAACTGTTCTTTAATTTTCTTGCTTTTTATCCCCTCACTTGATTTTGGCTGAGCCCAACTCCAAGCAAATGGACATTCAAGTCACATGGCAGGACGACAGCCTTAGTTCTGGTGACAAGCTTGGGGACATCCAATGAGTTATGGTTTTTAACAATCAATTGCCAAAGTAGCTCGGCATGTAATAACTGAGCTCTTCACTCATGGAGATGATATGTCTATCTAACAGAATCTGAACTGTTCTTTAATTTTCTTGCTTTTTATCCCCTCACTTGATTTTCTGTTTCTACTTTTTGTTTCTGATGATTGTAATACACTGGAACGAGTTGGGGCTAGAGTTAGGAATTAACCATTGATCATGTGACGATGGGACAGATGAAATCTAACAGGTTCCCAAACCTATGACTTTAGGGGTCAACAATGAGACATGATAAATAATCTTCTTAAATAGTTATACATATTTAGTTCAGTAATCTCCTCAATCTATAGCCCAATTACATATAATGTAGTCCAATAACCTTCCTAAATAGCTATAGTTCATATTTATTGAGCCAGACACTGGGATAATTTAATCCACAAACAATCCATAAAAAATTAGGTATACTCTTATCCTCATTTTACAGTGAGAAAACTGAGGCTGTGAAAAATTAATACATTTAACTAAGGTCCTAGAAAGACCAATCTGTAGTCTCAGGTTTTTCCCAAATTTAATGCATTTGCAATTGTATGATTTTTACAATATATCCTGTATATACCTCTGTTCTAATGGAACACGTTGTACTGTAATCATTTGTTTATGAAACAATTTCAACCATTAGACTGAGTTCCTTGAGGATCAGATTATTTATAAACTTCTTCATAAGTCCTATGGAATACAACATATGCTCAATAAAAGTTTCATACAAACATAGGTAAATACATGTTGGGGAATCAAAGCCACTTAACTGGAGTATTGAGAAGCTGTGTACTATTTGCCATTTTAATTTCACAGCTGCCATATATCATTCAATAAGAAAGTGTTTAGTAAGCAAATACTAAGTGCCTACTATTACACTGGACCACATAAAGTCTTATTTTGCATAATTAAGTCTAAATGGACACATTATTTGTGAATATCACGAGGAGAAAAAAGTTATGTCTAGGATTCACTAAGAGCAAGTAATTCCCTTTCTTGTCAGGGTTACCAGAGTAGTAAACCAAGGGATGCTCACAAATATAGTGTACCTCAACATCAGTAAGATACTTGACAAAGTCTTCCCTAATGTTCACAGATGAACTGGAGAATGCAGACTAGATAATAGTAGACTCGATTAATAGCTAACTGAAGATCCCAAAGAGTGTTGATTAATGAAGTTCTCTAGTGATGAGTTGCAGGGATCGTAGTTGACATTGATAGATGGTCTTATCAATGCTATGGATGAGTCCACAGTGATTAAATATGAGGATGGTATAAACTAGGAAGGATGTCTAGTACACTGGAGGACCAAAGTCAATACTTTAAAATATCTTTATTGGCTACAACAATGGGCTAAACCTAACAAGTAAGTATTTGACTTGGATAAAGAGACTATCTTACATTGAAGAAAAAAAAAAAAACATTGTGCACATATAGGATTTTGTACAATATACTGGGGAATCTGACTTGATAGCAACTTAAGCGAAAAAATAGAGTTTCAGTTAAAAGGTGCAATATAAGCTAGTATAAAAGTTTAGGACACATCAACAAGTATAAAGGATAAAGACCGACGGATACAAGAGTCCTATTTATTTTTGTGCCTTTCTGACCATAGCTGAAATGTGGCATCCAGTTCTGCATGCCATGCTTAACATAGCAATCATAAATGCAATAGACTTGAGTATAACGAGAAAATGCCTACCAAGAGAGCTACAGGTGTGGACTGTAACATAAGAAGGAACTAAAATAGCTGGGGGAATTTATACTGAAGAAATGATTATACAATGAACTTCTCAAGGTTAAGAGCCACATTTTCTGCATCTTTCTTAAGACCAGCTCTGAGCACAGAGCCTGGCACATGTTTGGACTCGAGAAAATGTTTGTTAATGAAGGTGGTCAGAGCAGTCACTTCAAAAATTGGAAGGGCTGTTAATGAAGCTTAGGTTCTGCATCCAGGTAGTTCAATCCAGGATCTATAGTAAATGATACATAGAAACAGCATTTGGGTGGGTAAAAAGTGGACATTTCTATGTCTATTACAGTAATCTAAAAGTGAAAAAGGATGTCTCATGGATTTTTGTCACTGGAAGTATGCTAACATGGTTCGAGTGACATCTCGTGAGGTATTTTATGGAGAAGGTGCCTCTGATCTTTGGGATGTGAGGCTTGACCACCAGAAGTCCTATTCAACTCTAAGATCCCCTCAAACCATTGACTCATTCATTCCAAAAATATTTATTGAGTACTGACTGACCTCAACTGAGGAGACCATGGTGAGCAAAAGCAGGCAAGGTTCATACCCTCACGAAGCCTGTAGTTGAGACCAGTGGTCTCCAAATAAGCTATAGGAACCCCACTTGGGGGGAGGAAGAAAACATTAGAACCACTACTTAGGTTGTGATTTTTGAAAATCTCATTCTTTTATTGATTTCTATATTTGGTATGTTTTATAATACATACAATACATTAATAGGGTAAGTAAGTATAACATTTAGAAATAAATACACATATTTTGGGAGATTCACACTCAAAAACATTTTTACTGACAGTGGGTGTGATCAAACACATCTGGCAACTTCTTGTAAAGAATGTCAGATAATTACACAAACTAACATAAAATCACAATTGTGTCAAGTGCCGCACACACTTTCTAGTCCCCCTACTTGGGACTATTGTGTCCTTATCCAAACATGAAGCTTTGTTCATACGCTGCTCGTATTCTGTGGGAGCCCTTGCAGTGGAAGACTGACACATTAGAAACCCCAGGTAGTTGTCAGGCTTTGAGGGCAGGACTTAGCTCATGCTGTGCTCAAATCCTGGAAGATTCAGTACCATGAGAATCCAGTCATATGTCACTGTCATGCTGGTAAGGATGTTTTTTTAACCACTGTCATTTATAGGTGAATCCTTTATAAGCCAAGTTTTTTTTTTTTCTTAGAAGGGCTGAAGGTTCAGGGCCAACCCATGAGAAGCAAGGAGGTAAGAGACAGAAGTTGCCCCATTAGGAATCTACTGTGGGCCACGTACATATGACACATTCCTGTGAGACAGAGATATATGAACAAATAGGGTATGCTTTATATAGAGATACAAAAAATGCAAAATGTAAAATCGTATTTAACCATTACAACACGTGAGGCCATTATTATAATCCTCCCTTTTACAGACAAGGTGATGTGGACAAACTGCCTGTGCCATTTAACAGTCTGTTGAGTTCCAGGATCATGTCTCCAGTTAAAACCCTCAGTGAGCCCCTCCCCAGCCCGACCACTGCCCTGCCTCTCTCGGGAAGGACTCCAAACTCCTCAAGCCAGCCATGGCTCTGTCATCTGCCTTGTGCTCAGCTCTCAGACCCTACCACTTTATTGCTCTCCTTTTCCCCTTCTCATTCAGGTTTCTGTTTTATTCAGCTTTTTAAGTTTCTCTAACACATCATGCTCTTCTCTCCTCAGCTTTCACCTCGCTGTGCCCTGTGCCTCCACCCAGCAGCCCCAGCCCCTGCCGTTCCCCTGTGCTTACCCCGAAGGAGAACTTTTCACACTGTCTTCTCATTGCGTGATTAGGTCTTTGCATCCCTCACTGGACTGTAAGCTCCATCACCAGGGGAATGTACTCATCTTCCCCTATGTTCCCTGGTTCCCAATTTGTTGAATTATATGCATGAAGATGAGAAATGGCACACTGGAAAAGTTATTTTACTGAAGGTCATGTAGTAGTATCTGGAAGAAGACTGGGCCCAGATTGGCCTCATTCTAAGCCCATGATTTAACCTGCCATGAACACGTCGGAACCCAAATGGATGCCAGTCTACCTATCTAGGTACTAATTTTCTTAACTAGGAAAGGAGACTGTGGCTCTATATAACCGTGTGGGGTCGGGAAAAGAAGACTGTACAACATAGACAGATCTAGAATAAAGTCTGGACTCCATGCTGTGTAAGTGTGGGCAAGTCATTCAACTTCTTTGGGCCTCAGTTTCTTCAATGATAGCATGAGAAGGTTATTCTGGATGGTCCCTTAATTCTCTTCTTATCTCTGAAATACTGTCACAGAAGGAATTTCAAAGTTGCAACCTTTTCCATCCTGCAACTATGTTCTCTCTAATGGATTAAAAATGGTGGTCAGGGGAGTGGTTCTGAGGGCTTTAAAAGGAGAGTGCACTTAAAAGGAGAACACACCACACCAGATGTGTTCCCTGAACTTTGGACTTCCCAGCCTCAGAAACTGTAAGCAATACATTTCATTTTTTTAATAAAATATCCAGTTCTGTGTATTTTGTTATAAACAACAGAAATGGACTAACACACCAGGAAAGTTCAGAACTTCATTGATAAAGGAGAGTAATAATAATAATGATAATCATAACAATGATGATGATAATAGCTAATATTCGAATGCTTACTAAGTACCACGGTAAAAACTGCTTGCTTCAAGACTTAAAGAACAAGGAGCAGAGGAGTCTTTACATATAATGAAAGATAAAAGCAGAAAAAAGATAATTCTCAATAAAAAGAGTCACACTTTTATCTGCAATCCAAAAGTATGACAACAGTCTAAAATTCTACTGAAAGCAGCTTTAGACCAGTTATTAATACAAAGAGGTCAGAGCCAAAAGTAGGACTCTATTACTCATATGTATGTCTGGGCTGGGCAGCAAATAACTTATTTTTTCTTGATACTATTTTAGAGTGGGTAAAGGTTATCCTAAGAAATTTCTTTCCTGGTCAAATCTATGTGGGTAGATAGCTTAGGATAGAGCTTCCTAAATAGTCTTCCAAAGAATAACCATAGGATCTGCAGGTCGGGGTGGGGAGCAGGGATAAGCTTTAGCTAACAAAAATTTGGGGAATGATAAATGCTGGTTGCTGTATGGTCCTCTTAAAGACTTAGAATCCATATTAGCATTTTGGGCATAAAAAGACCACAGTAAGGAGACCTGCTCCTTGTGGCTTTACCCAGAATTCCCCATATTTATTTGATTTGTGAACCTTTTTTTTACAGAATGCCTTGTATTTATTTCTATGAAATCAATATTGGGAAATACTGGCTTGGGAGGTTCCTAGAAACAGTCCCTCTCCACTGGATTCTAGCAGTGGACTTATGCAAAGAGGATTTCAATGAAGAACTATCTGATTTAGGAAAAGTAAGATTGACTATGGTCCGGGCCAGAAAAGACTCATGCCTAGTGTTATAATTTACACAGTAAAATTCAACTCTATATGAAGGCTGGGGAGAAAAAGGCCAACTTGTAATCAATCCTTTGAATTAGCAGTTTAGTTATTATGCCTGTATCACACAGTCATAGGAATTTATATTTTCATTTTGTCCCAAAGAAAAACTTGACCATCTTTCTTTAATATTATCAACCTGGAAGCTTGACAGTAAGGATTAAAAATTGCTCCTTCCTTCCCACTTGGTTATTGGAAAGGCTCTGAAAGGCAATCAGTCTTGTGAAGCTACACTTTACAGTCTGCATAAAAATGCCATGATTTCCCTTCCTCTCCCCAACCTAATTGAAAGTGCATAATATCACCCAGCTGGGGAAATGTAAACGGTAAACATATGCAATATATCATGCTTTCACACAAAAGCTGGTTACTAACAGGGACTGGGTGGTTGTCAAAACCCTAAGAAATCTGGAAAACAAGTCTTTTTTGAAATCTGGAATGAGAGCTCTTTTTACCTGCCATCCTTCCTCCCCACCTCCTCCTGCCAGACTTCAAGCTACAGTCAGATTAGACCAAGGTCAGTCAACCCATTCCTTGCATGTGTAATTCCAAGCATCACCTAACCATGTATATCACCTAAGACTCTCTTAGATCAGTCTTTCAAGAAATGAGGCATTTTACTTTTGACAGGAGGTGGGGTTAGAATCACCTTATTCCCTACCTACTTCAATTGTAGAGACAGACAGTCCTATTATCTCTTTCCTTAGCTGCTAAACCTAAAGATCCTTGGCCTTGTCACCTCTTATTTTTCTCTACTTCATCAAACGCCTATTGCAAGATTATCTCCTTTTCTACCTCTGATCATCCATGCATTAGATACAGGGTCACATTTGCCTTCAGTACATAATGCCAGGCTTTCTTTTCAAAGTCCCCTGCTTCTCCACAGCTATCTATAATTCCACTTCAGTGACATCTACTTGGAAGTCATCATTTTTCTCTTCTCTGACTCCTCACCTCCAAGTGTCACGCCATCTTCTTGAATAAGTCTTTTACAATAGGGCTCTTAGGAGAAGGACAATATTCCTTGAGAGTTTTCATCATTAGTTCTCTGTCACAATATTCCTTCAAAAATTGCTCCCTTTTGCACCATGAACTTTACTACTACTATTCATTCATGCCACCTTATAACTGGCTATTGTTTTATGTTTGATGGCTGATACCTTACGGGTAGGTCAAAGTATATTACTTGTCCAGGGTAACGTGTTCTTTTCAGTTTTAATAGATTGAAGGATACATTTTTATCTGCTTCAGCAGTATAGATGATTTGAAACTTACTGAATTAAAGCTACATTCATCTTTCACTAAGTTTATATTACCTGTCAACTGGAGGCAGTGGATGGTATGGCTTGTTAACCTTGGCATAGAGACCCTCTAAGTGGTCTCTCTCTGGAGACAGTGGACGGCCATCCCGAGGGTAACCAAGAGGTCCAGCCCGAGAAGGAGATGGAGATCTAAAGACATTCGCTGATGCACATGGTTCCCGAAAGTGGTTCACTCTGGCGTAATTGGGGTCCATTTCATCATCATCCATATCGTGCACTGATCCAATTGCACCGATAGCATAATCAGCGAGACCTCTTGCCTGCTTTTCTCTTAGCTCCTGATGTTTTGCTCCAATCCTAAAAAATGTAGAACAGGTAGCAGTGATGTACCTGAGTTTCACATACTAATAAAATGAAACACTCTCCTGAATCTATGTTAACTCTTCCTATTCACTTAGCTGTCACTTTCCTGTTTACTTAAGATGCATTTATTTCATGTTTACTCAAGATGCATTTATACAGAAATAACAACAGCATAAGAGGATTAATTTTATATTTCTGACCTTTGTTTGTTAAAAGGTCTTTACTTTGATAGTAATGCTATAGTTATTTTGACATCTTGCCCACCAATGACTGGGCTGATAACAGAGTCTGAGGCTGATTTCTATTAACATTCCCTCCTCACAAATGGGATGTGTTTTTGGGAAAAGTGCATATTTGGTGTGATATTATGGCAATATTTCTTGGGATAGGGTTGCATATTAAAAAGCCCATCAGAATCTTATACTTTTTCTGTGATTTTACTGTTTAGTGCCCTAGAGTTCCAGTGTATTCTTCTAAAGAAAAAAGCTTGCAGAAATTGATTTAACTATGAAAAAGAAATACAGAGGCTTTCTGGTTACTAAAAGCAGTGGGATCAGGGGTAATTTATAAGAGACTCTAAGTTTTTTGGTTATACAAATGTGGATCATTGTGACTCATTATATAGGAGCCAGGGACAGAGTAAAATAGTGAAGAAATTAATAGGCTCCTGACAGAGATGAATTGGCACATATAAGTGAATTAAACACCATTACTGGCAGAACTCCACAGTGCAAAAGCCTTAAGTGATATTACAAAATGCTATTGCTAATCAGTGCCACTATGTAGACTACTGGGAATGGGAGAAGAAAAATATACTTAGGTGAATTCCAAATCCATCTGAATTTTGAGAATTTGATATTTAATTTGGAAAGTGTTAGATCAGCTCTCCTAAATTCTCAGTTATGTGTTAAAATGGAAAGGTCACTTTGGCACCTTTTTGGACAATGGTGATCTTGATGGTGTTAGCAGGTCTTCAGCACTAATGAGGAAAGAGTGTAACCTTACGTCACTGGGCAAACAAGGTGCACTGTGTACAGGATGAAAGTGTAAGACAATGTTGCCTCAGGTGGCTAAAGAAAGACACTCAGGAAAGGATAGGGACAATCAGAGAATATGAGGGGGCTGTGGGCTAGAAGTGAAAGATCTGTATATGATGGGAGACGTAGTTTGAAGGTCTGGGTGAGATAAAAAAAAAAATAAAGCTGAAACCCTTCAATATCTTCTCCTCTTCAAAGAAAAACAGCTGTTTTTGCACATGGCAGCTAGTTTTATTTTACAAAACATCAAGTCCTTTGTAAAAATCTTTAGAATCCATGATCTTTCAAGTGTCGCTTTTAGCAGAACAGCATTTTTATTTTTATTTTTTTGAGTAAAGAGGAGGAGTAAAAACAAGGAAGGGGAGAAAAAAGCAAAACAAACAAAACAAAACAGAATAAGAAGGCATAGGAAAAAAAGAAAACACACACACACACACAAAACCTAAAAACAAAACTAAAACACGCTAGCATCTATTCTCAAGTCACAACAGATGAAAATAAATGCCAGGATACATTACTGCATATCTCTTTTGACTAGGCCACACCATGTACCCTCCACATAAGTAATTAGAAGAATTTATACTTTTGCATAAGACAGCTTGAATCTCCAAGGGATTTTGAATTAAGATGAAAGGAAAACTACACAGTAGGGTACCCATTAAGAGGCCTTGCCTGTTCCCTTTCAATACATTTTAGTCCTAGATTCATGGGTGTTTGTTTTGAATAATTTTTGATAAAGAAGATAACCTGCTGCATTCTGCAACAAAACAATCTTTCCAAGGACAGTGCAGACTCGATTATCAGAGAATGCTTGCTGTACTAGGATGATAGGGATGGATTTCCATTGGAAACAGAGCAAAGGACATCAATAAAGTTAGGGATTGGGATTCTTTGTGGTTATTGTCCCTCATAAGTGAGATGTCTTCAAGAGAAATCATTCAGCAGAAAGATGAATATCTCATGGCTGCCGCATAGGGCTACACTTGTGCATTAATGGAAGAGGAGAACACCAAGCTCCATTTTTAAAAGTCACAGAAACAGAACACTAGTATCTGTGTTCCTTATTTCATCTTTTCTCTTTTTTAAACGTTTTCTCATTAATTAAGCTTACTGAGTATGTAGAGATTCTCAAATGAAAAGTACTACATGTATGCAAAGCAGCATTTTATCTTGTAGTTTTCCTTTCTAAAACAAAAACAAATTCCTCCTTGATCCTCTCTGCACCACTGAGTGTTTCATTAACTAATTTCATATTAATCACTCAGTAGGTGAAACAGTAATTTCTCTGAACCATCATTATTATGCCATATATCAGGGTCTCTCCATGTGGGAGAGGACAAGGCATCTCTGAAAAGAGGAATATGGAGGTAGAAGAGACTCTCTCAACAGAGAAGTATCAAGGAAAAAGAGGTTTTTGTTTTTTTTGTAGCTCCAACCTCCCCCTATCCCAACTCTGTGTGAGAATTCTAATTGTTTATAGTCATTTCCACTTGGAGATCTCCTTACCACTGGGAACTCAACCTTTTAAAATATTTATTTTTCAAAATAGATCTTGACAATATACCCCTCTTCATTTGGTGGTACTACTAATTTCCCCATTCTCTTGCCCACACTGCCTTTGAATTGTTTAAATCTCCTCTTTTTCTCTTCCCCTGTGAAAACACTATTGTTTCTTTTTTTCTATAATAGCTTCTAAATGATAGCCTTGTTTACTTCCATTTCTTTAGCCACAGTCTAGTGTTCAGGCTTTTAAATTGCCTAGATATGCACTGTCCAATATGGTGGCCATTAGACATGTGTGGCTCTATAAATTTAAATTTGAATTAACTAAAATCAAATAAAAATAAAAATTCAGTTTGACAAAGCACATTTCCAGTGCTCAATCGGTACATATGGCTAGTAACTACTATATTGAACAATGCAGATACAGAATAATTCCATTGTTGCAGCAAGTTGCATTGAACTAGCCTAGATTATTCTGAGTTCTTCATATGTCACCTCATCCCACTTTAACTCATACCTTAAAAGGCTGCTAGAATAATCTTCCTTAAAGAACATTTCTATCATATCTCTGTTAGATCAAGGATTTCTCACAGGAGATTGTAATAAATGATGGAGTGAAATTATAGTTATTCTACTTTCTTCTCTGAAACTCTAATTGAACAAACAATGGAGAAATTGGGAGAAAATTTCATCTACAATGGAATTAGAAAATGGCCATGGTCTCATACCTTGCAATAATGTTTGGACTCAGCCCAAGAGGGTGAGTATACCAAGAGCTGATATATTCCTATGTCTCTAGCAGGGCATATATTTCATGGAAAAGGAGGGAGTCTATAGCAGTACAGACAACAAACTTTTAATCAGAAAGAGAGGGTCTGAGGACAGGAGTAGAACCCTGAAATTGTGGAGTTACTCTTTGTGAGGATCCAACTTCAGAATGGAGGGAGGCAGGCTAGAAGAGATATATTTCCTCTGAGCAGGTATCCTACCCTGAGGAAACTTCACAGAGATGAAATGAGGAGAAGAGAGAAGTATCAACCTGTTTGTATCTGATAGGGACAATTAACAGAGCAGAGAGAAACAAATCCAAATTCATCAAAATAAAACCAGTAATCTGGAAGACTTCTCTGAGAAGCAGGCTGATCTCCTGTCACAGTAACCTGATCTCCTGAAATGGAAGACCATAGAAAAGAAGCCCCCAGGGCAGTGAATCCACCAAATGTTGCAAGAAGATATTTTGGGAGAACATACAGAATTAAAGCTGCTGGTGACATTAGAGCACTATGCCCATATCATCTAACATTATATTTTAGCACAGAATTTTTAAAAAATTTCAAACACTGTAGCAAATGAAATTAATTTAATGGGTCATACAAGCATTAAAAAAAGTTAAATACAATAAAAGAGAAATATTAGAGTTTATTGCATGTAGTAAGCATAAGTATTGTTTCAAGAAAGAAAAATCAAGTGATCTATAAATTTAGGCAAATTCACACTGGACTCAAATGTGAATAAAAACAAAAGAAAAACACTCTCAAACATTTAAAAACACAAAGAGAATATGGTACTTGTTGATCTGTTTTGAAAAACTACTTAATAATAAAAAGCAGCCAACTAAGAATTTAATCAAAATGAATTCAACCTGGTTGCTATTCATTTAAACATTCCCCAAATTCATGAGTTGAAACTTAATCCCATAGTGGTGGTATTAAGAAGTGAAGCCTTTTGGGAAATGATGCATTAGTGCCTTATAAAAAAGCTAGAGGGAACTAGCTTAGGCCCCTTTTTGCTTTTCCACCTTTCTGCCATGTGAGGACACCTAGATAGCACCCCAAACCTGCTGGTGCCTTGATCTTGGCATTCTCTGCCTCTGGAAATGTCAGAAAATAAATTTCTGTTCTTTATAAATTATCCAGTCTCAGGTATTTTGTCATAGCAGTAAAAATGGAATAAGATACTGGTGAAGCTGTGGAATGACAGGCCTAGAGGTAAGCAATACATTCAGTTAAATATAAAACTAAGGCTAAACATCTGTGGGAACAATAAATACAGAAAAAAGGTAAATAGTGTGAACTCTGAGAATACAGAAATAATATCACTAATAAAAATCAGAAGCCAGTAAGGAGGTGAGGTAGGAGCACTATTATCCAACTATATTTATTTCCTTACTTTATAAAGTAGGCATTAGTAGTTACTGTTTAAAGTTGATAAATTTGGAAACTGAGATTTGAGTATATTAAACATAATTACAAAGAAACCCCTAAAAGAACAGACTCTCAGCAGAGGAGAAATACACAAAACATACCTTGACCATATAGTAGAAAACAGAAAACAGAAGAAGCAGTAAAAAAGAAAGTAAGAAAAAATAAGTTGGCCAAATTTATGTTATGACAATAAATGTAAATGGAATAAATTTCTTTAGTATAACTAAAAGATCCCATATATGAGTAAAAA